TATTATTATTATTATTATTATTATTATTATTAAGCGGTTGCGAAATTAAAGCCTAAAAAAACAATCAAGCTGGATTCGAACCCATGACCTCTGCGATGCCGGTGCAGTATTTCTTTCGATCAATACGCCAAGGTCTCGGTCTGAGATAAGGATGTTCGCGCGAAAATGTTCTACTTGATAGATTTCCTTCAAACTTCTACTGCGGACAGATAATGAATTGCTTGTTTCAGAAATTGAAAATTAACAAAAAATGGGGGTCACGGACTTCGTTTCAGAGACAAAGCATGTGAGTCGTGTGAAAAACTAGTCTGATTTTTGAAAAAATTGGCGCGCGAAAATCAGCATGGTCTCCAGGGTTTTTAGCTTAAAATATCAAAGATGAATCAACGGAGACAAACTATCCTAGTAATATTTTGTATAGGTGAATCCGTTGCGTTAATAATTCCTGCTGGAGAATGCCAGAGCTTACTTGAAAAAAGATAACTCCTACAAGAACTAATCAAAATGAATAATTTTTAGATATTTTAAAAAAAGACAAATAGCTTACTGTTTTAAGCGGAGAGATTTTTGAAAAGTTAAAAACAAATGAAAAGGTGATCAGTTAAATCTGATACAGAAAATCGAGCAAACGTTTCAATGCAAAACGTCGACAAAATGCACTGGATGGAAACGTTCTCTGCTTAAAACACAAAACTTACTCAGAACAACAAATCCTGAAAATTTCAGCTCAATTCAACAAATCCTTCTCAAAATATCTTTTCTCAAAGGTAAAAATAACTTGTTTTGAGAAAACGAACTTTGAACTTACAGTAACAGAAATTCTCAAAATGAAACTTCAATACCTTAAGATTCAAATTCCGATAAAAACAAAACTTCGAATTTTTCTCAGAATTCTGGGTTAACCCCCCAAAGAAGAATAAGTCTGAAGCTGTGCTTGATTACTTCCTCCCCCTGGACGAGCAGAATTTCAGCCCTTCAATGAAAAATTCGCGAATGCGAAAGTTCTCTGCCCTGAAAAATTGAAGTGATAAAATAAAATTATCATTTATTTCCGTTTTAATAATTTTTTTTCCACTTCCAGATCGCTGGGTCAAACTGAATCACTCTCCAGTGTGTTTTGGCACGAGGAATGACCAGTTTGGCACATTTAACGTCCCACATGGTGGAAACATGGCTGCCGTAAAATTGGTCTACCTGTACGGTTATGTATCCTGTGACACTCGACAAACTTCGTATTGGTCTTATTGGGGATGCGGCGACAATCCATATGCTGGGATCAAAGATATGGTCAATGTTAAAATAACAACCTCAGCCAATCACATCATTTTGCCCCCAAGTCAGTTTACCACAGCATTTTACAAGTGGTCCAAAATTCCCGGGTACAATTCGCTGTCTCCAGAGCTTATCTTGTCGTCTTTCTTTCAACGTACCAGCATGCACTCGGGCCAACGGTTACGCTTGTGGTACGCTGAAGATTTGTTGAATCAGAGCGAGGGAGAAAATGGAGGCAGAGCCTGCTGTGATGTGTACGGTCTCTACGTCTGAAAATCCAACTCCAAGCTCCTGGCAGATTTTTGGATATCGGTTTATCGTCGCTGGATTTCTTACACAATTAAGGGCTTTAATTAATAGGACGCTTAGTTTTCGGGATTTTGCTGTACGTAGCTTGATCAGGGAATAGAAAAAAAGAAAAGTGAAAATCCACTGCCTTTGCTTATTTGTAGGAGGACAAGAAAGGGTCTATTTTAGATTTAGAAAACTGAAAAAAAAAAGACAAAAGTTATAAAAATAAACCAAAAGCAAAGAAAAACAAAACAAAACAAGAAAAAGAGAGAAAAAGATTGTTTTGACCAGAGTCCAGTTATTTACAGACTTCTGTTTAAATTCATTGATTGTATGGCAATATTGTAGACTTCAAGAGACCTACATGTAAACGTGAAGAGTTTCTTGTCATTTACGCAAATAAAAATAAATAGAGGGGATAAAAGAAAGAGTTGTTTTTGTTGTCTTCGTGTTTTACCTCGTAGAGGAACACTTCTCAATAATAACAAAAAAAGAAATAGGAAAAAAAAAGCGAATCAAGAAATAGGGCTTAATTGACGAATTGACATTCGTCAATTAAGAGATATTTTCTTGATGTTCCAGTAAATTAGCAGAACAAAAGGTAATGAACGGGAAAATGAGCGAGAATCAGAAATAAGAATAAGTCTGAAGCTGTGCCTGATTACTTCCTTGATGAAATGTATATCAAAATTCTAGAACCTGTTTGGTTACCAGCAGGGCCAATTTGGGCGCAAATAAGATATGGTGCCCGCGATGTACATTCGTAATATGGGTAATAGGACTCGTATGCGCGCGCTAGGCCAAACACGCGTGTGCGAGCAATATGCCACGCACCTTTGGCCATTCTGTTGCAAGATGCGCATGGTGTAGAAATTCATGGAAGGACAATTTGTATGTTGATATTAGAACTACAAGAGTTAGCACATCATCAAATTTTCCTAGCTAGCACTATAAGAGCTGTATGTAGAACTCTCATGTGTCGTTTCCCTCTCGCGTGCTTTATATTGTTCTCGCGCGTGTTCTTTCCCTCTCACACGCGCGCGTTTTCTCTCTCGCGCGTTCGAATCTTAACGCTTTCTTGTGACGTGCAAGCTAGCCATTTAAACGTCACATTTTCTTCGCTGATGTCCGAGCGGAGAGAAAAGATCTGTTGACTTAAGTGTAGGTAATTCAAGGTGTATCTTAGACTTGCTGCAAGTCTAATTCATCTCCTTCGAGTGAAGCGAGAGGGCAAACAGGCCATGGATGCATTATTGGAAAGAACTTTTACAAAGTCTAGGTGTAACTAAGTTTTCTTAATAGCGGATCTGTCACCACTTGCAACCTTCACTCGTGAGCCCAGGTAAGAATATCCATATTTGTTTAGTACCGCTAAGAAAAACAAAGAACGAAATTGTTGCATTAAATTAACCTTAGAAGTAAAATGCAAGGGTAGAGCCCTTCGCTTTGAAAAAAAAAAACACGAAACCTAAATATTCCTTCTTAGCTAGCGACCACCAAATTCTCCTAGGGGAAGGAGTGATGGGGGAGGAGAAATGGGTCTTACCTGTTTAACACAAGGAAGGGAGCCGTACCATTTTTGTTCCCCCGGGCCTCACGGGAGGGATCGGGGGCATCCGGATCCCCCTTTAATCCCTCACTTATTTGCCAAATTGTGAACATGTTAACAAGGTTTGTTTTCATCCACGGTTTGTGGAAAACTTATCTTTTACCGTACCTAAACTATGCGTAAGAATCTTTCCGTTATTAGCTTGTGTAACACACTTTTTGAGTTTGGTAATTAAGAAATTCTTATTCATATTTGTTTTGTTTTTCCGTCGGAAAAGTGTGTGCTTCTTTCCAGACTGCAAAATCTCAAATACGCAGAAACGTGAATATATATTTTATTCAATCTCTCACTACAAGGTTGCAAAGTAGACGAAAAACTCTGATTTTCTCAACACGTCCCTTGTACAATAATACAAGTAAAAAAATATGGACATTTATTACACAATGTTAGTCATGCATGGAAGAATTTACCAACACAGGAACACGAAGCCTTTGATTTTGAGCAAAAAAATATTTATATACAAAAGTAATGCAAGCCTTTACGACTTTATTGTTAACTACACTTTCGAGATTTCTTTTTCGTTGATTTAAGGCAGGGGTGAAATCTTTACTTGGCAAGTCTTCGCCTCAAAAGCGTTTTATGTTAAACGTAAGCGCGGGAAAAAATGGAATCATAGCGCGGGAACATTCTCGCAAACCAAAATCTAGATTGGTTAGAATTTTGCGTCTGATTGGCTGAAACAAGACATCGCACTGATTGGTTACAGGAGCTACACGTGTTGTTCTATTTCAACCAATCACAGACCGCAGCTGAATTACTTTCGACAATTATATGAGAAACCGTGCAATCTTCGACGCTTCACCTTGTTTAGTGAAAAGCCACTGGCATCGATTTTCTAAACATTAAACAAAGAAAGCACTGAACAATTTTGAAAGATTCACTTCAGAATAGCCGTTGGAATTCAGAACTGTGGAAACGGTCGAGTGCACAGCAGTGTAAAATGGCGGAGTCTTGCGCAAGTCGTACGGAACTGAAAAGTAAAAAGAGATAAACATACGGTCGGTATTGTAATTTTCTGTTTTTTTTTTGTCGGTCAAAATGTTACTATACGAAATTTCAGAGTTATTGATACCAACACACTTTGAATATAGTTTATTTACATTTACTTGTAAGAACAATCAAAGAACTAGGAACCTTGCGTGACTTGTCACTTGTGTAACAAATAACGCAACGCAAACGTCTGTGGAGAGCGCTTGTTTGTTCGACGTCAGAGCCGTTAGAGATAACCTCGTAACTATGGATACGAGCCAGTTACGGCTCTTGCAACTGGTTTTATTCGCAGGCTAATAGTAAACTAAAAAAAATGAGTGAAAGGCTAACAAAAACTCACGTTTCCTGGCGTCTTCCTTAGAGTTCTTGAGAGCGTAATCATAGTCAAACAGACGAGAGTAGTACAGCAGCTGAGTGTACAATGCTGTGTCTGAATACTACAACAAGGATATAGAGGAAGTCAGCGCGTGAATAGACCTTTTCACGGTTTCTGACGCCATCTTGCTTAGGGTGCAAACACGGCAAACATTACAGTAAATGTATGGGGAAAATGGAGAATCTATTTCTAACAACTCACAGAAAATTCGAGCTCTTAAGTATTTGTGAATTAAAAACTTAAGTAATTTTTCTATTCATTTGTCTTGAAAACCGAGTCGCAATTCGCGAGAAAAGTTAGAGACATTTGCATGAAAAATTAAGTGCAATTCCTTGCCTCACAGCGAATCTATGTTCTCAAACTTGACCATAAAATACTCAGAACGCCAATCACTCTCAACTTAGTGGACATCGGGGTTTTAAATTTTCTCATGTATTTGCTGTGTTTGTCCCCAAGCAAAGTGGCGTCTGAAACCTTGATAAGGTCTATGGAGACAACAGGTCTTTTAGCACAACTATTCTTTTCTTTTTAAACTTCATCTTAACGAGAGAACACTATGTTCTTTAGAGGACACGCGTTAACACAGGGTTGCTGCGAAATTTCACCGAGGAATTCGAAAAAACTTCAAAACGTGAGTCTCGTGTCTTTAAGCTTCTCCTTTCCGTAATGCAATTCCATCCTCACAATCGTTCAGTTAGACAGCCTTTCTTTCTGATGGCTGCCTGTCATTTTCTAAGTATTGTCTTAAAAAAAATCAACGTAGTATCATTGGCTGTCCCGTGATGGAAACCTCGCTAAAAATACTAGAACAAGAACGTCAAATGGTGTAACATAATGTTTTTATTGTTGGTCTTACCACAGGATGCAGGTGGGCCCTAAAGCATGTTGTGCACCTGGGGGCGCCCCGCTGGTGTGTCAAGGGCACCTGACGAGTGGTGTAACCACACGATGGGTCATCGCATTTCTGCCAACCCTGTGGAAATGAAGATGAAAAGTGTCACAAGGTCAGCAATCGTTTTAATTGTGTAAACGCTGAAGCTAGCACACAATGAAATCTCGAGTACAGTAAAAGCCGCGTGTAAGAACCTAGTAATTTTAGAACCTGCTGGCAGAAATTTGCCATTTAAATACCCAAAATTATAAGAACCTGTTTAGGCAAGTTAGATCAAGCAGGTTATAATATGTACGTGGGTTACAGGCCTCCACTAGCTCTTTGAACACTAAGACAGCTGTTTGTTTATTTATTCGCTCATTCCATTCATTTTCCAATTTTGCGACACTTCAAAAAATGTAAGTTCTTACACGCGTGTTTTTATTGTACTCTTAGAGTAGCTTTCTACCATGTTTTTCTTACCATGTAATATCGTTTAATGTGTTTGCGCATGACAACAGTCAGCTGGTTTGAAACAGCGCCAGCGCTGTACTGGTTTTTACATCCGGGACATGTGTCATTAAGGCCAAATTGATGCGACTGCAAAACAATGCAAAATACGACGGCTGTGAATGCTAAAAAATAGAGAACACATATCATGATACAAAGAGAATTAGTTTGTAAGACACTACGCACATGGAATGGCTAACAGTATAAAAACGTTTATTAGAAACTGAATCATTGGATAATGCAATTGAAGTGTTTTCATTGGCTTAGCCATCATGTTATATAAGCCCTTATAATCCATCAAATATTTTCCCTCTTGCGTGATTGGTTTAAACGCGTCACGTGACTGAATACACCCCAGCTAAAACTGGGGAATATCCGAGTGATATTCCGCAATTTTCGAAACTGCGCGAGTTGCGGAATGATTTGAAGGATAATAAACACAATAGCCTCCATTTAGCGTGATGTATGTAGCGTGATGTCAGTTTTCCTCGAAATAAGCTCTCGGAAAACTGTTCGCTTCTCGGAACAGATAATGCCCGCGGACAAATGTCCGAGCATATTTTCGGGCCAAATGGAGACTATTGTTTATTTATACCATGCTCTACAAATATGGTAAGCGTACGCGTGATGTTTTTGGGGGCATTTTTATTTCTATTTTATTTTAGTTTTCAATATTTTGGGGGCGTTTTTAATAAAACAATTGCTCCACTCGCACTTGTTAGATATGAGATGATTATAGCCAACTTGACACTACGTGCCTTGTTGGCTATCTACCGTCTCATATCCACGCTCGTGGAATAATTGTTTTAAAATTTAAAAATCAAGCTCAAATGATGTCGTGTACTTACAGTGTTTCTAAACAGGACTTCAACGGTCGTTTCTTGGCCACAACTTGGACGTTTGCATTTCACTACAAATCGCTCACAGTCCTGAAGGAAGGAGACAAAAAAAAAAATTAAAAAAACAAAAAAAAAACCGCACTACTCGAGCGACTTTCGGCATTTCATTGTACTGTTACTTTAGGTTATGATTTGTGAAACTTTTCTTAGCAAGTCGCCTCGTGTCAAATCATCCTTCTTGCAACATTTCTTTCTTTCTAGGGTAGTTGTGAACATCAAAGAAGGAAACAAACAGGTTAAGATTTATGTTGGAAGATCCCTGACCCTGCGCATCTTTTGTTTTATGTTCATTGACCATGCACGAATTACATAATCGCAAGGCTTCTATTCGTTAGTTGTATGAGCACACATAACCACCTTTTGTATTTTGCCAGGTTTTGTGCAGGGTCAACCCCCTAAAACGCCAACAAAAACATATAACAAAGAACTTTGCCAGGTTTCATAACCATTTCCCTCAATTAACTATGTAACGAGATTTTAAAGCTAAACAAGCTGAACATCAGCTTGGAACCAGACATCTCTGAACAGTTTTTCTATAGCTCAGTTGCGTTAGTGGACAGAGAAAAAAAGAGGCCTTTGCCAGTTGCTAAAATCCAGAACTACACTTAAGGTTTACATAAATGATGTTTGACCCGTCCTATTAACTGAAAAAAGCAAAAATATCCGGTAATGTCTTGCTGTCCTTGGGTGAAATAATTAAGATTATAACTTCACAATTCTATTTTCATTTTAAGCGCACCTTAAATCTCTCTTCGTCGGTCATCTGGGCCTGGCCACCAAGCAGTGCGTCATTTTCGTCATCATGCACAGCGGAGTTACCACGGTAACCAGACGGGTCCAGACCTGCGCAGACGAAGAAACGTTATAACCGAGCTCCGTGTACAAATCACAAAAGATCACTTACTCACCCAGGCACTGTGCTATGTGCGCCGCGTCCGTTCCGTCAATAGGATCACACAAACGAGAAACAACCGGATGAACCTGATTGGCCAGGTAATATTTCACATCTGTGATGTTTACCGCATTAAGGAGAAAGTCTATAGGCAAAATATGGATTCAAAGTGATGGTAGTATGAATTAGATAAACTGCAAAGCCGCGAACGAAGATCCTGCTTAGATGAACGTTGGATCTCACAGGAGATCTAATCAGCCAAACTTGAAAATGAAATTGCAATACTATATCATGGTAGACGTTGCAACACGTGCCATGCATGATACCATTAGAAGTTCGCAAAAATTTACGGTTATCAACAGTCATCTTTCTCGGCCTCTCGGTTTACGTGGTGCGCGAGTTAGGAAAACTCGTACTAAATTCTACTGGGCTTATAATTAATTGAATTTAGAGGAGAATTACGTTGTTTTGTTTGAGTTCTCGTCATTTCAAAGGATACCGATCTTCAGTGTGTCAGATTTGCAAAACTCATCCGGATGATAGGCGCGTTGAGTGGCCGCCAGTGTAGAACCATCCTGAAGGTAAAAGGTAACGCAAAGAAAAAATGCTTTCGACTTCTAATAGAGTGCAAGTGTTAGGAGTAGGTCGCTCTTTCCAGCTAACTTTTATCCCTTCCGTCCAAAGCTTTTAAGCTCACGTTCTTCAGCAAATGGCCCAACAGTTCGCTCATTATCTCTAGGAGTATTTTTAACTCCCCTTCCTCCCCCGCCCCGCTTGATAAGATGCTAGTTCATCGCAGCGTTACCCCCAGCATTAAATTTGGCAATACCCATTTATAGACCTGGCTGAGAAAAGGCACTGTGAGTGTGAAGTGTCGTCCTCATACACACAGCTCATGGACATCGTTTACAGATGAGCCAATTACACTCGCGCTTGTCGACGCACGTAAAATTACACCAAGTGGAAAACAGCTAGCCTTTGTACTTACGTCACAAATGACGTATGGTATAGTATCTCCGGCGTTGACTTTCCTTCCTTTACTGAGCATGCGCAGAGCCACGTTGACGTGAGCTAAAGACTTCTTGTCGGGGTAGTCATGGGGTGATTTGGTCAATTGCTACAAGAAAATAAGTGACACCAAAATAATATATATATTTCAAGGTCAGACAAAGCAGTCTCAGGAACCACTGTTAAGCAGAGGAAACAAAAGTAAAGCCTGTTAGCCCTTTAATTCCCAGGAGTAGTTAAAATGTAATTTCTCATTTCAATACCAATACATTATCGAGCAAACAGGTGAGGAGAATAAAGAAAATCATCAAGTTACTGATATCGTCTGTGATGTACCACGAAATTCTCAGAATTGACATTAAAAGAGCTGTATGGCTATCAGTAAAAACAAAATAACATTTTGAACAACGGACTTTAAGGGTTAAGCACAACTAGCTCAAAGCTCTCAGCGCTAAACTCTGGTTTCTGTAGCATGAAGCGACTGGGAGTATTTCTAGTCGCCCCCTGGATGGTGGCCACCGCGCCTCCTACAAGAAAGAGGAACCTCATACCTTATTGATAACAAACTTCTGAATGTCAACCTTTCCCTCCGCAACGTTTTCTCCAACTAAAAAAAGAAAAAAAAGACTTTAAGAACTATTATAAGAGCTGTAAGAGTTACGAGAGTGGTTGTAGAGATACTGAAGGTCTCTAGCCTTACATTACTTGCGAAAAATTTCGGACATTTTTTTATCTCATTTCTGATAAAATTCGGACAACAATTTCGGACACTGCGATGAAACATGACTAAATTAAATTTATACCTACAGAAAACGAATTAGACTGAAACAACATCTGTGAAAATGATATTTTTACTGCACCCTCAAGGTTATAGAGATACACTGACGAGAAAACGCAAATTCTATCAAGCCGTTACTTATCTCAAGCAGTGCCTCAATTAGAGTTTGCTCCATAAAGGGAAACTAAGAGCTTTGGAGGTACTTTAAATTTTACATTGCACTGCAAATATTTCGGACGCATAAAAATTTCGAGCGGTTTAATTTTCGGACACTGTTTTTGTCCCAAATCAAAGTCGTCCGAAAGTTTTTGCAACTATTGTACTGTCATACAGTACCTGATATAAGGTAGTCATGAATATTCTCCACAATCGTTTCGCGGGCTTGTGAAGACAAGATTTGAGCCAGAACGTAACTACAAAGAAAAATTGAAAAAGATCATGTTACAGCTCACTAGTTTTCGATCGTTTGTTGATTAGTTCGCACGTTCATCCGTTCACGCAATGGGTCGAATACGTACTTCCCAGAATCCTTTGCGAGGTCGCACCAGTCCCTTCTCACAATGTCCAAGCCCTTCATTTCCTTCACTTCATTGAGTGTTCCTGAAAAGTGAACGGATATTTTGTTGGTTTGTCTGTGTTACCAGAAATTAAGAGTCATTACAAAACCACTATGACACAAGGCAATCCCGCAACGTTTTCACACAAAGGACTTTGACCCAAATGAATGTCTGTTTCATATGCTCAGAAATATTTTATTGGAGACACGAAAATCGACCATCACTGCCATTTCTTACCGTCTTCATTCTCGGAAATACTGATAGCAGCGTACCTTAAAAGAAAATACAAATATATGGTCACGTTAACTGAGTTAGACGATCAGTAATAGACTTTAAAGGTCGATTTATCAAAAGATGATGTGATATAGAGAAACTCACTTTTTCTTCTTCAGCAAAAGCATGGACTTGAAAATGCCATCGATATCGATCTCCAGCAATCGGTAGAGTTTGTTAACCTCGTTTTTCACCTTAAAGAAGAGCGATCAAAAGTCAGTTTCGTAAAGTTTTCATAGCAAGTTACTGCTAGAAAAAGAGCTTTAATACTTTGTTCCTGTGAGTGCTTATTTCAGAAGTCAAATTCTCCTCACTTTTCTGTATAATTTCTTAAGAATTCCTCAGGAGAATCTGATCACATCCCAGCTGTAAACGCCCCCCCCCCCCCCCCCCCCCCAACCCTGTCCCAGCACTGACTATTGACTCATCTCTACAGCATCAAAAAATTCTTTCTAAACTACAACTACATTTCCCTCAGTGTATCTTCATTGGAGAAGATTGGCACGGGATTAACAACAGGTTTCAAACATTTAGACAAAATTTCTCAAAATGCGGCATCTATAACTTTGAATCCGTTAAAAGTTTGCTACAAGATCCTGACTTGACAAACCTTGTTTCCGATCTTGCGGACTTCTGTCAGGTCAGTGGTGTTTGTGTTAATCATGATGGAATCTGTGTCTCCATAAATCACATCAAGGCCCAACTAGAAAAAGAGAGGAAACAAAGGACAGTTCAAGATACCGTATAAGCTTCAACGGACTCCTCGATATCACGGACAGTAAAATTCATCTGGACGCCACAACAAATAGGAACGCTTCATGGTATGGCAGAGTTTTTGTAATCCGGAAGCTTTTCACCATAGACAGTTCTTTGATGAAAACTCTAAACAATGGACACCTCTGCAGCAGGGACACTCACGATAATACAGACAAATCAGTAGCAAGGACACCTGCATAACACAGACACACGAGAAAGAATGCCTCAAACAAAGGTTGGATGTCTTACGTTTTGAACCAGTTCCTTTGTTTTCAGCAAAATCTGGAAGAAAAAGAACAGAAATGGAAATTACGCATGGAAACTTTCGTTTAAAGGTCAGCACATTCGCTACGTAACAAGATGCTTCCTCGCCCCTGGCCTTAAAAGAAACTGTCGCTGACGCGCAGAGCGCTCGGCTATCTTCGTCGGATAGTCATCGGTAAACCGACAACACCACCTTTTTCGCGCCAAAACTGTGCTCCCTGCCCTAGCAGGCATTGAGCCACAGACGTCTTAAGTAGAGTCAAATTATAAAAAAAAATTGTGGTTTTTACAAAACAAAGGTTTTGCGCCGTTGTTTACAATTAGCCAGGTCTCCCATGTCTTCATTTACATGTAAACAGGACACGCTAGAACGAAGAAATACAACGGCGAGTTCCAAGTGTGTCACAGGCATTAATTACCAAAAAATGAGCGATCCGTTGCAGCAATTAACACATTTGAGAAACTGAAAAAAAGGGGAGATTTGTACCTTTTTGTGTAGTCAATTCAAAACAATTATAGAATTCTTTACAGCGGTGCCTTACTTAACGTGACAATAATGGAATTTAGCAAAGTTCTTTGAACTGTAATTAAACTTTAATTAAGTCGGAGGACGAACATTGGTCGAGATTTACGAGTTAATAAAACCGGGATTAATGATTAAACTAAAGACGGAATGATTAATTTCCCAAATCGTTACCAAGGGCAATGTTGAGAAGTCATTGAGTTTTGAAAGCGAAGTGTTGAAGAAGGCATTTGTGCAAACAAAATATTTGACTAAAGGAAGGCACAAGTCGACTTCTAAGTTTTCAAAACAGAACGGGAATCTCGTCTCGGCGGCGACATACTGTGAAGTTACTATGCTACAGCGAAGTTGTACGTCCATAGCTGAAGAATCCGAGAGTGAAACCCGAACAGCAGGAGGCAAGATCAGTGGTAAGACAAATTTTGTCACGACGAGCAAAACAAGTAAACAAACACTAACTCAATTCGTAATTATGGTTGGCGGTTAACCCGCCAAGCAGAACATAGCGATATTCAAGCAAGAAGATAATTTTCACTTTCCCAAAATCTCATCCTGCTACTTGTGAAAGCTTGTTAGATAACGCTGGAATGTTTCTTGCTTGTGTAAAGCTTTTTGCATCTTATCACAGTGGGAGATTAATTGCTCCATTCACTAGCGATCTGATATGATTATTACTTCTTTAGCCGTTGTCAACCTCGCTTTGGCAAAGCGATGGCGAGCGCTCCTGAAAGTTTTATGATCTCCACAAACACTCAGCTTGGTAGAGTTGAATTTTCACCTCTCAGGAACGTACAGAAGCCAAACTTTACAGAACAACAGGAATATTGAACGAAAAGGACCACAACGCTACGAAGCACGAGGGCTTTTCATTTGCTTTGAATAATGGAGAAATAGAAATGTGACCAGTTGATCAAGTTTGTTTAATAATTTACTCGCTGTCGTGTTATCGCGATCGTATTTCGCGATCTCTATTTCATATTTTCTTCGTTTGATAAATTCGAGGAATATTAAGTCAATATAACAGCTGAAGACGAAAATGTATTCCTTATAACGGGCCATTTTCAAACAATTTCCAGTGCAACCTTGATATCTTGAAGTTCACGAGCGGACATTGCGAAACATTGCCCTAAAACAAGTCGTCTTGCCAATAAATGCTTGAAACCTGGTGTTTTGGATTGTATTTTCAACGTTCGTTTCTTCCGCCGGGTACTAAAAGATTTTCAGGCAATTAAACCACGAAGCAGTTATTTGCGGTCAGTAATTACACATTGCGGTTCGTAAATACATGAAAAAATTCCACTCAATATCATTATCGACAAATCGTCAGTTCATTTGTATGTATTTTTTCTGGATTAGTGACTGTACATAAATTACAACTTGGAAGCCTTTAAGTGGAGGAGAGGGAACGGTGAACTTTTCGCAAAATTCAATATCAGTTGTAAAGGAACTATTTCACGTATCAGGAAAGTTAAAGAAGTAATTCTAAACTGCTAAGAAGAGACAAACAAAATGCTTAGCCCTTTTCTTCTTTTCCTTAATCTAGTTTCATTCTTTTTCCAGGGAAAGCTCCACCTTCAACTTCTAAAGGGACGACGGACGAGAGAAGTAGTAAAACAGACAATAGTGAGTCATCAAGCCGACTCTTATCACCCAAGAACGCCCGACTGTCAGCTTCGGCTTTGACCGAAGACGAATCGGGAAGCGATCGGTTTTCGATATCAGATGACGATGATACCTCGGCGGACGAGGAAGACAGCAAGACTGTCGACAAAGACAGGCGTTCCGCAAATAAACAAAACAACAACAATAATAATATTCAGGCCACGTCTAAACAAGAAGAGGAAATGCTGAAAAACTCAAAACTGACACCGGATCAAATTCGTGAAATCAAGGAAGCTTTTCATGTGTTTGACAACAATGGCGACGGTTGTATTACAGCCACAGAGCTGAAAAAATTGGTCACGTCACTGGGATACAACATAACAGAGGCTGAACTTATGGACATGATGAATCAGATTGGTGAGTATTATTGAGCCCGCGGTCTTTTCAGCGGAGTTTGCTAAGCAAAGTTGCATGTTGCTATGGCGACAAGCAAACGAGGCACCTCCCTTAAGATGGATGTGATCTTATTTGGCCTCAGTTCCGTAATGGGGACATCCTGCTCGAATGTTTTTTACAATACTAAGACAATTTTTCCACACGGAACAGGTTTCAATTTTTTTTATAAGATTATATTATAAGAACATCGAGGCTGAAATTTGCGAAAATAAACACGAAGCTGAGATTTTGAAAAAAAAATACAATTTTGTGTGTTAAAAATTTGTAAATACAAGACAGTTTTATGTTTTTAACCAAACCGTATAAATTTCTTCTTTTCTCTAAACGGTAAAACTAGCCAAAAAGAAACAAAAACAGCACTAGCCGATGCTAATAACATTTCTCGAAGACGTTATGTGCGTCATATCAGGCTCTAATGACTGCAGACTGGCTCCAAAATTACTTTAACACCATCCAGACAACAAGTGCGTTCGAAAACAGAAATGTCGTACGGTATAATCTAAGAAAATTCACAACAATATTTTCAGCCTAAAATGGGCAGAAAAATAAGAATATTGAGCCTCGGCCGGAAAAACAATATCCTTATAAAACAAAGAGTGTAGTTCAATAAATTGTTTCTCCAATAACTCTTTCTCAACCTTACAAACATCCATTCCAGGCAGGAACGCGAAAGATTTGCAAGCTAACTGAATAGAAATTCAACTAAGTATCCGCAGAACATTACAGAAAAATAGTTTTCTATTTCACAGAAAAGGATTTTTTCTGTACAAAGTTTCATAAAAGCAAATCGGTGTTGCTGATAGGTGAGTAACCTTCGTTTACTGATAAGCTTGTAACAAAATGAACATTAGTTTTCTTTACATTTTTAGATTCTGACGGTAATGGTGCCATCGATTTTCCCGAATTCCTTGCACTGATGACAAAAAACTTGGAAGATTGTGATCCTGAAGACATTTTACAGGAATCGTTCAAAGTTTTCGACAGAGATGGCAGTGGTTTTATAGGAGTCTCCGAACTCGACCGAGTCTTCAAGCTGCTCGGCCAAGAATTTAAAGATTACGAGATCGAGGCTATGATAAAAGCCGCTGACGCCGATGGTGATGGACTCGTGGGCTACGACGATTTTATGAAGATGATGAACGTTTGAATAGATTGGGTTCACCGTTAATTTCTCCTTACAAGTTCGATATAGCGTCAAGCAAAAACGTGATGAGAAAGTTGAAGTTTATCAGACTGAGACGTTTTGATGTAGTTTGAGATTCTCAAAACTAGAATGGTAAGAAATGTATGATAGTCGAGCGAAGCAGGCACTAGAATTCCTTGTTTTCATCAGCAAACAGTACTGCAAGAAATCAGTCGCAGGCTAGGCTCAATTTTCAAAACATGGGAATTTTTATGACTCAATCTTAGTTTGAAAAATAGCCTCCTTAGCAAAACAAGATCTTGAATATGTCTTAGATTAAATATCCCATACAAACACTGTCATATTAGTTCTGTCTGACTAGCACCACAAGATCGCCGTGAAGTATTCGTAACAACGTCCTTCGAAAAAATATCAAGTAAAATCGCCTAAATGTTTCCGAAAATTCTCAAAAATGTTCCTAAATGTCTCGAAAAACCATCGAAATAGCTCTTATTTTGTTTTAAAAATAAATCGATTTTGAATCACTGAGGCCAAAATTTTCTTGCAGTAGTAGGAGGAAGCGTCAGGCGATTCGATGTTACCAGCATCCGCCATTTTGGAAAATTGCGGCTTTAGCGCTGTTAGTGATATTGAATACATTTTTTCAAGGGGAGAATCGCTGAAATGGTTTGTTTCTGGCATAGAACTGGAAAACACAGGCAAAAATGCTATAAATATTCCTAAATTTTCTAAATATCTTTACATTTTCTAAATATCTCGGAAAATAAATTATCCCAAAAATATCCGGGTATTTGTGGAAGGGCCTACCCAGCCCACTCTAACAGAAAACTCCTTCCACATTTGAAAGCCAACCTCGATGCCACGCTCTCTCCCTAGCCTCCCTTGTCGTTGAGGACGCAAAGGAGAGACAGAGAGAGCCTAGGATCAAGGTTGGACTTTTACTGAAAAATTTAATGACGTCTTTCAATGCAAATGAGGTCACAGCCAATGGAAATGCTCGAAATCATTTGAACTTTAAGCGGTATACTATCACGTGTGGCATTCCGAGGTTTTCCCGCCAAAATGAAACGCTTCTCGCTTTACGCCCCACCAGCATGTCTCAGTTTCAAAGTAGTTTAAGAAACCACGACGGCGATGCCGAGGACAACGTCGATTAAAAAATGAATTTATATTTTATCTACGAATCTTGAGATAATCTTAAGTCATTTGTTTTGTTTCTCACTGTCAGAACTAGCACGAACTGAACTAAATCTGAAACCCAGCGATAAATTTGAAATGGAAATTTAAAAAAAATTGGCCGTCGTTGTTCACGTTCTCCACACAACGCAGAATTTGGTCATTTCGCGTTGTTGTTTTGCAGAGGACGGCAAAGAAATGTACCAAGATTTAAAACGCACGTGCACAGCCATTGTTCTGCTCATTAAACCTTTTGTTTAGCGACGTTGCCGTTGCCGTTGCCGTTGCCGTTGCCGTCGCCGTTGCCGTTGCCGTTGCCGTTGCCGTCGTGGTTTTCTTAAATCCCCTAGTATCTAGCCGACGGTAGTGATTTGACTTTTCGTTTTATACACACTAGCTATATAAGACTGGAATGTATACAAAGTAAAATCAAATCACTTGTGAGGGATTTCAGTAAGTGCCGCTTAAATCTCGGGAAATTGATGAAAAACGACCGAAATCTTACGTGATCATCTCAGATACTTAAAACTGACGAACACTCAAATCTCGTGTCTCAGAATAAAAAAATTGACCTCGATATTTTCTGGTTTCTATGTCGCTAAAATCCTGAAACTTTTCCCAAGATATTGGCTACGTGACGTCTTGTCACTTTATTATCCTTATTTTGTCATCAGCTTTTCAGTTTCTAAGCAATGATTTAATTTTTATGAGTTCCTAGACAAAGGAGACTTAATGATCAAAGACGAAATCGTTGTACTTAGCTCTCCTTTGAGCTTGGGGTAATTAACTTCTTTTAATAAGTTAGCATGTAAATAAGTTCAACTGGTTCGCTCTTTGTCACTGCGACAATGGGATCTGTCTTCAAGACATTGTTCACATCGTTAAAAGCATAAAACTTCGTCTTGCTTGCTAAACCAGCCTTGAACTTGAAAGAATCGAAAAGATGGGACTTTGATATGTGAGCGACAACATAACACGGCGCTAACAAAATAACTCGGCTGTTTTATTCAACTTGGGGATTTGCAAAAATGGCAGGATCTTCCAACCAAAGGCAAGTCAACACCAGGGCAATTTTTCGCAAATATGACAAAGATACGGATGGATTTATAAGTGTAAAAGACCTCATTAATGTCTTCAAAGAACTTGGCGAAGAAATCAGCGAAGAAGAACTGAGAGAGCATCTTCGAAACACAGGTATGAAAAATTTGTGTGAAAATTGCTGCTCCTTCGAAACCTTTGAACATCTTTACACTTCAAGCTCGTATTATCTCGATAACAATTCTTCAGTGTAGTACGAAAAACATGGTAGATGCGTCCTATTGGTTTTGCATAACTCAAAAGTGACGTGTAAATAGAAAACACAACTTTGAAATATTCTTTCTAATAAATTTGTAAAGCAGTTGTTTCCAAATTATTTTCACGTAAAGTTTGGCATTCAAAACGTTTTATTTTGAAGCAGATAGCGGAAATACAGTAACCTAATTGATGATATCGATCTAATTCTGAACAAAGAATACTTATATTAGAATTATAGATTACAGTTCTTGTTTAAAACCCTTCGGCGAACGAACTGCATTCCTCCAAAATAAGAATCTTAAAACAGTTTGTTATTTATTCAGCGTTTTCAATTCTCTTTTCTTGTTTTAGGTTTGAATCATCGCCCCAACACAATGGTACCTTTTGAGAGCTTCCAACGGCTTTCAAAACAAATCCTTCGTGAAACGAAACGAGAGCGTCGGTTGAAAAGGGTCTTTCAAGAATTCGACGTGGAGAAAAAGGGTTATATCGAAGCACAAGGAATAAAAAGAGTTCTTCGCAGACTAAACATCGAACATACCGAGTCCGACATCGATTTAATGATCAAAATGGCTGACACGAAGGGAGATGAAAGAGTTGATTTTGACGAGTTTATTCAAATTTTTAGCGAGTCAGATTTTATTTAGCATTTCGTCCGTAACGAGCAAGGTTCTAGAAATGTTTATTAAACGAATAACAGGTATAGGCAAAAACGGGAAGCCGTTATTAATGATGGGTATTAACACAGAAAAGTTTATTTATTCTTCGAAACTCTGTGAAGTTCTTTATAGTTGCATTAAGCCGAAAAACAGCTCGAACGATTCGGTAAGATAATGGAAAGATTACAAAGATAGATTAATCATTAATAACTACATACTAAAGCGCAATATTGGTAAAAAGACTTATGGATTATGTCTATAATAAAAAAACAAGCCAAATGTATAACAAGTAATGTTATTTAAATTCGACAGAAATTGAAGTTCTTTTAGTAACATCCGAGATATATCACTCAAACCTTAGAAGGAGCACTAAAAATATCGCCTGGTGATGTTTTGAAAGCTTAAAAAGGTGGTTTTCCTCGACAAATGTCACAAAGTATAGCAATTTTCTATTACGCCAAGTCCGTCAAAATTGGTGCTAAGAGTGGGTTAATATGACAAACAGTGTTCTACAGTTGTCTATGGAGACTTGTCCATCGCTGGTAGGCCTATATCTTCTGTTGCAGCTCAATATTTCACTAGAACACCTTGTTAATGAACTTAAACCACCTGTTGTGAAATTCACAGAAATGCCATACGAAACTGATTAATAAATTATGATAAACAATTTGTTTGACAAACAACGAACATTTGACCTAAAATTTGCGGTCACGGGGCTCTTAAAAACACCAAAACAATCTAAGATTTCTGTTCTTCTTTTAAAAAATAGCATTGAATTATAAGTTGCCTTTTCGGCTTCACTTTTTTAGAACCCTTTTAAGATTTCCTGTGATTCAAATAATATTATTTCCTGAGGAATAATAGAAGTTGTGTTACACCCACCGAGATACACAACAGGAGCACTCGGACTGCAATTTTGTAACTATCGCAAACACAGCGAGATTTTGTGTGACGTTGAGTGTCAAGCTATCATCAAACAATCATCACTTCAACCTTTACTTGTCTGACGATGAAAGCCGATAGTTCAAAGTTTCCGATTGTGTCCGAAATGTAATCGAATGTCTGTTTCAGTGATGCTAAACATGAAGCACCTGATGCCTGGAAAAGAAGTTCGCTTGACCTCTGAGCCCGCGGTTTTTTTTTTATGAACTTGCTGAACAATAAGATGACGTCATGGTGATGTCAGCAACGTTCGCACACCTCCTGAGTGCTCGGAGACTCAGCTTCTAACTTTTTATCACTACGCCAAGAAACAAAACATTTCCAAAGATATTTTCCATGACATTTTCTCTGACGTCTTACACAAAAAAGAAATGGAAATTTTACCATTCTGACACGTGACTTTCTACGTCAAGCTATCGATTCTGTCCAGGTTCAACCTCCCTCCCAGGTTCCCCTCTCTTACTCGAGAAGAGAGAGGACCCTGGGAACGAGGTTGGTCCCCAGCTTACCTCGCGTCCTTTGCTTGTGACTAGAGCAGCAAGTGGCTTGGCATAGAACCGTGAATGCGAGAATCCCAGGCAGCCGTACATACTGGAATTTAAAAAAAACTTGAATGAGTAACCTGCGAAACAAGAGCCACGTGCGGAAATGACACATCGCGTGATTAGAGCGTGATTTTCGCGAAACTACGTCATTTACATCCAACGTATGAAGCGTGATAAGTAACCTACGAAACCCGAGTCACGCACGGAAATGACGCGACGCGTGAGTAGCGCGTGACGCGCGCAAAACCACGTGATTCACATCCAACTTATGAAGACGGTTTTACTTCCTGGAAACTAAACGGCGGATACTTGCCAGTTAACAGTATGTCCTGGTCTTAGTAACTTGAAAAGAGTAGCAGTTGGCAAAAAAGCGCCAAGAAGTGAAGGAACAGAAGAGAACTGACGACAAAACATTTTCCTTATCTGCTTTCCTCAATGATAATCGAGTAAGGAAAAAAATGCATACCTGTTAGCTGTCAACTTCAAGGCCTTCTGTCTGATGTCATACTGAAACAAAAACAAACACGATTAGAGAAACGTTCTCCAAAGGACAAGAACGACGTTGATTCTAATCTTACACTATCGAAGCAGCAACTTCGCTCTTTTCGTCTTTCCATGGTGAACTTCAAAGAAGGGAAATAGACTTTGATATGACTGGGCTCAAAGATTTCGTTAAGTGGTCGGTTAGATTACTTCACAACATAATGAACAGCCTTGTTAGAGTAATCCTGGCTATCCTTTCCACTGTCATCCTCTGTATCGCTTGTTATTTCACAAAGTGAAAACGCTTTCAAGACCACTTTTTAGCTCTTATTAACCGAGCAGGAGTTCTGTATGGGACAATCTTGACCGGGGTCGTGAGCACAGTACACACGACGGAGGTCAAGATTCTCCCATACAGACCGACTAAGCTCGGTTAAAAAGATGTTTATTATATGGCGCAAACAAAAACAATTTAATTCGTTTAATGTAACTGGTTTGTAGGTAACTGACATTTTGCTTGCGAACGGCGATGAGCTGAATTTAATTCTGCCAAAGTTTGCTCGTCCTCTATACTTTTTTATCATCAGACTTTTTGGCACTTCCATAAATAAATATTGTTAAATGAAAATAATAAATGATTTTTTATTTCAGTTTGCAACTTTTTCATTGCAAAACATTACCGGTCTAGATGTCGGTCTAGATGGGACAATCTAGATCGCTTACAATATCGATTTCAGCCAATCAAATTCGTGAATTTGGTAGTTCCCAGTCCTTGTGAGACAGAACCATATAACAAGGAGACTTTATACTCACTCACCTGCAGATATTGATCTGACTCACGACCATGGTTCTTCATCAAAGCTTTCACCTATTAAAGCAAAGTTATAAGATGGGAAATTCAAGATTAAAGAAATAAAAGGAAAAAAAGTCCATTTATGTGTGTGAAGTCTAGTAACACTCCGGCTTTGTCAAGTAAAAAACTACTGATAAGTTACAAACATGACGGACAAAACTCAAATACTCCTTCAATTCAGCTGACGGCCCTTGAAACAGTGATTTACCAAACAGGGCCGGGTTGTTCGAAAGCCGGTTCACGCTAACCCAGGATTAAAAGTTAACTAAAGTATTACTATTTCTTGTATAGAAATGTTTTTCACTACTTATGTTTTGTGTAGTTTAAGCTTACTCAATTTCAAAACAGAAGGACAAATAATATAAACAGGTAAACCTCACAGAGAAGCGGGCTTTGAACAACCCGGGCCAGCTTGCTAAACTACTAATCATTGGGAAAGAGTGGGCGTGAAAATGTGTTGTCTAATCAATGACTGAAATGCCCTTCACTACTCGAGGAGAGCAAGGGCATTTTCTCGGTTGCGTCGTAATTTCAAACTAGGCTTCTTCTGTCTCTGAAGATATTGTACTAAGTGTTTTTAATCAGATGCACTTCACCAGATGTTTCACTATTTGCACGAGTCGTGTAGATCAGCCCAGAGGACTGATCCCATTAACAGAATCTGTCATGTTGTATTAAGTGGGCAAATATCACAAGAACAAACCTGCTTTCGTCGTTCAACAAGTTTTCTGATCTCGGTCGGCAGGATGCCGGGCTCTAAGTCAGGATCGGGTAATTCCACCAGTTCCTCCTCGTCAGCGGGCTTATAAAGAAAAGAGCAATCGAGAATTTCAATGCCACGTTTATTGAAAACTTCTAAAAGGCGCGCTGCTTCTTCCGGCAAACTGTCGTTTGGTTATTATCGTAGGACTGATTTCGAAGTATAGAGCGTTTCCACTTTGGTCGTATGGGTGTCCACAATTAATTGAAAATGTACCATGATCGAAATTTTAATTCTCGTTACTGACTGCCATACATTTCTTTGCATATTAGCGCTGAGAATTTAGTGTTACATCAAAACATCCCTCATTTGTTGATGAGTTTCTTTATTCTCATCAGCTGTCTACTTGACAGCGTATTGAAACTGTAAGGAGAAACAGGATGCTGATCAAACAAGCAGTGACACTCACTCCGTTGGCTGGGAAGCTTGCCCTGCTGATTGTGGTGAAACAAATGTTGTATTCCTGGATAATTGACGGGTACAAACTGTTGAAATCCAGCAGCAAAATGTGTTTGTCGTAAAAACCTGGAAGAGAAAAAAAACGGCGCTTACTAAAAAGCAGAACCTTTGCTGACGTCATTGTCTATATTTTTCCTCATTAACATACGACTTTGTGCTTCGAAGGCATCACGCTACACACGAATTAACGACAAACATTTGAAGAGATTGTCAAATTTAGTATTTGGTGAAACGTTTGGCTCGTTGGGTGTAATATGTGAGGAGAAATTGGCTTTCAAACACTGCAAAATGTCTGGCTGGCAAAAGCGCTAATGAGTTCATACATTCTTTGTAAAATTTTGAGTTTGTAAACCCGCGTCGCACAAAAAGTATTCAATACATAGGGCTCAAATTCTTTAGGACAATTAACCGTCCTGTGCCATTTCAGCATCCAGAACTAATGTTTTTGTAGCTCCATCAGAAACTGTATCGCTTTTGCTAATGAGGCAAATATTGTAAACAACGAATCTCCAATACATAGGTCTTTTGCACAATTCAAGAATATGTAGAAAAAGAAGACCTTATGAAGGGAAAATAAAAAAGAATCCAAAGAGAAAACAAGGTCTAGCCCATCATTTTTCAACGATAGTAAAGATAGTTAGCCTTGAAACCTCAACCAAACGACATCAAGGGGAAAAAAGTCACGTACGGAAGGATTTTTGACAATTTATTCCATCCGTCGTCGTCTAACGAGAGATTCACAAGCTAATCCTAAGGAACGAACCATTATTTTTGTGGAGGGGTGGGGGGAGGGCTGGGCAATTGCGGAAAAAAATTCCTACATAGCAAAAATTTGCTGAAAACAAAATAGTGCAAGAAGAAACATTTCGTGTCCCAGAAAATTACCCACCCCGCCCCCCGTCAAAAAAATAATAGTCCGTCCCTAAACAAAACATACCTTTCTTAGGTTCCAGCACCAGTCCTCCAGCATAAGCTGGCTTTCTTCTTCCTTTCTTTGAACTCTTGGGTTGTTCTTCGTCATCATTCTCAACCTCGGCCTGAGAAAAACGTCGAGTAAAACTCATTACAAGTTTAAAACATAAGGACATTTTACCTTTTACTCTTTGAAGGAAATCGAACGCCAAGTCCATCCTCTGAGAGAGAGTTTCTCCAAAAAAAGTAAAGGCAGCGGTCATTAAGTACAGGGATGGGCTATTTAACACAATTCTTACCACTTGCTTCTTGCCGTAGCTTTTGTCAGGGCAAACGAAATTCCTATGAAGCAAGCAAAAAATGCCGTTGTAAAGGATAAACATTACACGCTGAGGTTCCAAAATAAGCAACCCACCAGAAATCAAGAGATACAGGAAGACAAAGTTTTTTCACTAACAACTGGTCAAATACAAGTCCTAGGAAATTTTTCCTGGTAAGTGCAAGATAAACTTACCACGCTTAAAAGATCGCGTTTGAGTAAGAAAGAAAAAACTTTCGGAAAACATGTAGCAGAGTTTAAAAAGTTAAACAAGGAAGCTATGGAGAAATCTCTTACTTTTCGTTGAAAGCGTGAAGCAAAAGAAATTCGTTCCTTTCTGATCGACCGCCAAGTAGTGTTCTAGCCTGAAAACAAAATAAAAAAAAGCAAAAATTGTCGTTTAAAATGGAGAAATAGCAGAGTGCTAGCGCCTACATAAACGGCTCTAAAGACCAATAGTAGTAAGGCAACCTCGCAAGCGTGTTGAATTCAATTAATTTGATTCAGAATTTTGTGCACGGATCCGTTGAAACAGAAAAAACTTGAATAAAGTACAGTGACATCACAATAACGTCTCTATGGATACAAACCTCGATTTCAAGTAGCGCGCGCACCGGGAGCGCACAATATTGCTAGCGCACAGGCTCTTTCGGACAACGACAACGAAGAAATCGATAAACTTAAGAACGGAGTGGACTGTACATTGCCTCTGCACGTGCGTTATACATCTTGATTAACGCCTTATTAACCGGTGAAATTTCTGTTTCAATCATAGATTCATTATTACATTTACAGAAACAAAAAATTGCAAACGGAGCGAAATTTCCTAAATCAACTCACCATAACGTTTCCAGCGATTGTTGTTATCTGTAAAGCCAGTGGCAGAACCTAAAGAAAAAGCAAATAAAAAGAACTTAAAACAGGGACCGGGTTGTTCAAAGCCCAATTAAGCTAACCCTAACCAAATCCTGGGTTACCCAGGATTTGCGAGAATTTTGATTGAGTTTTGCAACTTTTCGGAGCGGTTTTCTGTTTATATTGTTTGCCCTTCAGTTTTGAGTTTCAATGACTTCAAACTACACAAAAAATAATCAGTGAAAAACATTTTTATAGAAGAAAAATTTATACTTCGGTTAAATTTTAACCGTGGTTTAGCGTTAACCGTCTTTCGATCAGCCCGGCCCTAGTACCGAGAGAAACAAACTGGTTTGGAGGTGGAGAGAAACGTTACCATGAGAACTGTTAAATATAGCAATCCGTTTTTCTCTCAGTACTGTTTGATCAAATAGATTTGTAAAGAATAACGTACGTTGAGATCATACATGATCCGCAAGGTCAGTAGAGCATCCATCTGCAGAAAGAAACAAGCATATTTCGGCAAAATTAGACAAGAGTAAAGAAATGATCTCCGTTCGCAAAGAATTCAGACAGCAGAGGAGAAAGTAGGAGCTGGATGCAGGGTCTGGAGCGAGGGGTAAATGGTAGCCGCCAACAGAGCTAGTTGGCAGGAGGGTGTAGGGGTTTCATGGGCCGCTTTGAATGAAGAGGATAGGTGAAGTTGAAAAGAATAATTCGCGCCCAACGTAAGTCCGTGACTGAAGTGGAGTTAACTTGAGCTGTAAACAAAAACTTTACCTACCGAGGTGAGCTCAAACATGTGAAGGAGTTCACGCGACGAACTGAAAGAGCAGGCAAGAAAAAATATTACGGTCAACGAATACTCATGAATTTATAATCGAAAATCTACAACGCAAGAGGTCAAATCGAATATGAAAACCTTCAGCGTCCCAGAGAATAGTATTTACCGGTTTTTGACGTGCAAAATGGGTGCACGCTGGTTTGACAATCAACGAACAGCATTCAGAACACGCTACGATCATTTATTACTTACTTAAACTTGTTGGGTATTTCATCTTGGTCAATCTCTTCCCTTCTGGACTGAAGAACGGCCCATGATAACGCTGAAAAATGGATCAAGGAATAAAATTTCTTCGAAGAATGAAGGCTTTGAAATTAATATTGTTGTCAGATTTAACTAACTAGCTCGTGCAGTGTGATAATCTGGGCGAGTGTAGCCCTGAAAAGAACTGTTGTTGGTGACTGATGTTTCGACCACTTGAGCGGAGGTCATCTTCAAAGTCCGGGAAAAATGAAAAAGTCTGGTCCCTTGTAACTGATTCTTAGTTTAGCCGCAATGGAATTGGCTGTAAGACTCGCGGACTCAATAGTTCGCCAACAGTCGTTGGTCAGTTGTGGCAGGTTGGTAAAGGTGAAAAACAGTTCCCAAAAGATATTGTCGGTCGTCTGTTGGCCACCTGTCAGTCGACTTTCGGCCGTTTGTCGGCCGACTGTTTGTAGAATAACGGCCGACAGTTTTCGTTATTTTTCGGACTTAAGTTTGGCCAACGGTCGGCCAACGGTCGGCCAACAGTCGGCGAACTGTTGACAATCTGTCGGTAACTAGTCGGTAACGTGTCGGTAAGTCGTGAACTGAAATGACTGTTAACGTTTACTTAAGGGCCCATTAACCGATTTTTTTGAGCCGTTGCTAAGGAAATTTATTTTCATATAACCTCATCATTTTTAGTTAGTTCAGAGTTATTTCATGTGCTTTAACTTTTTCATGATCAGCAACACTAGTGATGACGTCATCAGGCCACGCCCATGGTCATGTGACTAATACTGAAAAAACGCAAAGGCTCCCGGGCAAATTACTTTATCGGGATTTTTTTCATTGATTTAATATTTTAATTTAAATCCTCATTACGTTATGCATAGATTTTGTTTCATTTTTAAAAGGTCAGATTTTGAGAGAATTTCAAAATATTAAAAAATTCTTAATTTTTCGCAAAAAGCATGATTTCGAAAAAGGAATGCATAGCTATGTTTCCAACGTTGGCTTTAATCGAAATCCGTCGAAAAAGGCTGGATTTAATGAAAAACCGCGTTTCCTTTAGCATTCATAGAAACCGGAAGTGCGCCCGATATATATTGGAAGTTACCCTATTAGCGCGTGCGCAATTTACACTGCCAGCGCACTTCGGCAAGATCAAACAAAGCCACACGGAGTTAGTTTTTCTCTTTCTATTGTTCTTGTTTTTCTGTATTTCTCTTATTTTGTCTTTGCTTGTACTTTTTTTGCTTTGCATTTTGTGAAACACAAGGAAAAACATCTAAAATGTAAGTGAATTTGAAAGCTACTGAGTTGTTTTTGTTTTCCGCGCTCAGACTGACGTAAGAAACCGGAAGTAAAATTTCACCTCCTTAGCAACGCGCGCGAGCGCGCGTATAAATCGGTTAATGAGCCCTTAAGGTAAGTTTCGTGAAGACAAACCTGTCAAATCGTAGCTCTTGCATCTTATAAGCTCCTTTGAAGATATCTTCACATCACACACCATCCGACCACAAGTGATGGAGCGATCGAGAAGACTACCACCTTTACCAGGTCCACCGCTCTGTGAGAAACATGAAACACAACAACAATTGGCACAAACCATTACCAATCAAAATAGGCCTGTAAAAGGAGCTACATGTTGAAAATTTTAGCCGAAATGTTTCAAGTTTGTCGTTTGTAATCCGTATTAATCTTCTCCATCCTTAACCATCCTTGTTCCTTTATGGTTTATTATTATTTCTTTAGTGTTTTTTCTATTTTACACAACTACTATACTCAGGTTTCCTTCAATTTAAAGGTGATTTTTTAGGTGGCCAAAATAACTCAAAATACCGTTACTGAGCTCCTTTAATTATACTAGACTTGAGTCGGAGTTCAAAACCAACAGTTTTAGCCAGTTGCTGCTGCTGTAATGATTGTTGACTGCAGTAATTTCAAACTGTGTATAAAGTTTTGATCACTCAAAAACCTTGCTAACACTTAAAGGAGCTCAGTCACGGTATTTTGAGTTATTTTAGCCGCATACAGAATTACCTTTAAATTGAAGGAAACCTGAAAATACTAGTTTACTAGGTTGAAAAAAAAAAACACTAAAAAGATAATAATAAACCACAAAGGAACAAGGATGATTAAGGATGGAATAGATTAACATGGATTATAAACGACGAACTTGATACGCCTAAGTTTCTGAAAAAAAAAATCAAGCAGCAAAATGCTTCAACAAATGAAGTACTTACAGACAACTTTGGCATGACGGTTCTTTTAAGCCGTCCAAGACGAGACCAGTGAGGAATCTAAAAGGAAAATAAACTTAAATCTCAAAATACAAAATCTCTTCATGGTTTCCCATAAATTTCTTTGAATGCTAGTTCCGAGAATTTGGTAGTATATCAAGGCAATACTCCTTAAGTACCTGACAATATCTTTTATTCTAATTATCTGTTTTCCGAACAATGTGTTAAGGGCTCATTAACCGATCTTTTAGAGCCGTTGCTAAGGAAAATTTATACTCATATAACCTCATCATTTTTAGTTAGTTCAGAGTCATTTCATGTGTTTTTACTTTTTCATGATTAGCAACACTAGTGATGACGTCATCAAGCCACGCCCATGTTCATGTGACTAATACTGAAAAAACGCAAAGGCACCCAGGCAAATTACTTTATCGAGATTTTTTTCATTGATTTTAATATTTTAATTTAAATCCTCATTACGCTATGCATAGATTTTGTTTCATTTCTAAAAGGTCAGATTT